ACTATGATAATCCTTCAACCCTGCTCTGACCTGTCCATTGATCCTATCACATTTTCAGTTTGTTACACCCTAATCAAGATTTCACTTTTTTATTATTATTTATTTATTAAGAATATTCATGAGATACAAAGCTGATTGTCCCCCCCTCCTGCCCATGATGTGAGAGCTAGATTCATACTGGGGGCACACCCACTACCAGAAATTACTTTTGTGCCCTTTGTCCCCTCCCAATTATCTCCCAACCTCCCTCCCCCTCACGCTCTCCCCTCCTCTCATATTTGTAGCCCTAGGAATGTTCCCTCCCTCTGTTGGATCACGGCACTACTGTGGTCTTTCTTTCCTTCCTTCCTTTGTCTCTTAGCTCGCACATATGAGTGAGCACATGCGGTATTTATCCCTCTGTGCTTTGCTTGTTTCACTCAACATAAGTTTCTCCAGGCTCATCCATGTTGTTGCAAATGGGAGTATTTCATTCTCTTTTATGGCAGAGCAGTATTCCATAGTGTTTATATAACACAGTTTCCTTATCCAATCATTCATTGAGGGACATTTATGTTGGTTCCATGTCTTGGCTATTGTAGACAGCTGCGATGAACATGGGAGTGCAGGTATCTCTTCGACATTATGATTTCCATTCCTCTGGATATATACCAAGAAGAAGGATTGCTGATTCATATGGAAGAGCTATCTGTAGTTGTCAGGCTTATAGCCATCTGATATTAGACAAAGGCAACAAAAATCTACGTTGGAGAAAAGACTGCCTTTTCAACAAGAGGTGCTGGGAAAACTGGATATCCATATGCAGAAGAATGAAACTAGATATGCATCTCTCACCATACACTAAAATCAATTCAAAATGGATTAAAGACCTAGATATAAGACCCGAAACTGTAAAATTACTAAGGGAAAATATAGGTGAAACACTTCAGCAGTTAGGTCAGGGCACAGGCTTTATGAACATGAGCCTGAAAGCACAAATGGGACTATATCAAACTAAAAAGTTTCTGCACAGCAAAAGAAACAATCAACAGAGTGAAAAGACAACCTACGGAGTGGGAGAAAATTTTTGCTAAGTATGCATCTGACAAGGGACTAATATCCAGAATATACATAGAACTCAAGCAATTATACAGTAAAAAAATAAATGACCCAATTAAAAAATGGGCAGAGGAGTTGAATAGACATTTTTCAAAGACTTCACTTTTTTTTCTTGCTAAATTCAAGTCCTTTTGTTTTGTTCCTCCATTATATATACCCTTAACTCTTAAATTTCTCTCTTTTAGTCTCAATCCCTTGATAAATGTTCAACCTTGGTTAAATAAAACTCTCCATGGATTCTTTTCTTTTTTTTTTTTCTTACTGGATGTTATTAGAGAAAAACTCATGACCGTGCAAAAATGTCTCATTTTTTAAAAAATTATTTTATCAATATACAGTGTAGTTCATTTTGCAAAAATGTCTCATGTTGAGCTCATGGCCACTAACCTCAAAAAGAATTTTTAATCATGTTGCAGTCCCCTAATCCATTCAGTCTCCTTCAGTCTCCCTCTTGTCTGGACTATTTCACTCTTTCCCCCTCCTCTAACCTCCAACACTCTCATTTTCACCTACATCTGATAGCCTTGTTTATTATTTCACTGATAAAATGGAAGCAATTAAGGAACATCCACAAGGTTTTCTACCTCTCTGCATCTATGACCCTATACTCAACTTTTCCCTGTGGCTATATATGAATTGTCCTAGTGAAAGCCAGCCTCTCCACTTGGCACCAAACGGCATCTCTTCTTGTCTCTCAAGACATGGGCTGAGGAGTTCTCTGTCTCTTCTCTACCATCAACTTTATTCTTCCAGCAGCCAAACAAACATATTGTAACTTCTTCCATCTTAGAAAAAGAATCTTGATATTATAGCTCTCTCTAGCTACTTCCTTCTCGTTCTGTGTCTCATTTACACCAGAGCCCCTTGAAGAGTTGCCTATACTTACTATCTTCAATTCCTTTTCTTTAGCTCTTCAGCCACCTCAAATTAGGCTCTCATGCTAAACAAGCACAATGTGGAAACTACACTTTTCTTGATGACCAATTAATTACTCAAAAAACTAGCAGCAAGTCTCAATCCCCACTTTACTTGACCTATCAGTAGCTCTGACTCCTTCAGTTCAGTCTCGTTGGTTCTCTCTCCTCTCCTTAACCTCAAAACATTGAAATAATCCAGAGCTTAATCCTTGACTTTACTGTCTCTTTCCAATTCTATTTCCTTGGTGATATCTTCCATCCTCATGACTTTAAGTAAGATATATGGGCTGATTACTTTCAGTTTATGTCTCTAGTTTGGACTTCTTGAATTCCAAACTCATATACCCAATTGCTTTCATGGCATTCCCTCCTGAATATCTAAGAGGAATTTCAGGTTTATTATGTCCAATGTGAGTTCCTGATTTTTCCTGAAAATCTGTGTATCTGGAAGCCTTCCCCATTTTCCTCTGGAGTCCTTATTTATTCCTCTATTTTTCTCATACTCAAATCCAATTCTTTAGCATATACTGTTGGCTCTGCCTTCAAAATATATCCACACTAATCACTTTTCCCCATCTCCATTGCTACCACCCAAGCTACCAATATCCCTTGGCTGGATCGTTGCAAAAACCTAACTATTTTCCCTCTCATCTTTAAAACCCTATAGGCTAGTCTCCTTATAGAAGGCCGAGTGAAGGGCCGAACCTGTGGCTCACTTGGGAGAGTGCGGCGCTGGGAGCACCGAAGCCGCAGGTTCAGATCCTATATAGGGATGACCAGTGCGCTCACTGGCTGAGCGCAGTGCGGGCGACACCAAGCCGAGGGTTGCGATCCCCTTACCAGTCACAAAAAAATAAAAATAAAGTTGTTAGACTTGACTTTCCTTCTACCTGGAATGCTTTTCTCCCACATCCTTCAGGGCTCACTCCTTCCTCTTTCAAGACTTTCTTCCAATGTCACAAATGAATCTTTTCTAAAAAAATAAAAATAAAGTTGTTAGACTTGACTTTCCTTCTACCTGGAATGCTTTTCTCCCAAATCCTTCAGGGCTCACTCCTTCCTCTTTCAAGACTTTCTTCCAATGTCACAAATGAATCTTTTCTTTTTTTTTTGACTGGTAAGGGGATCGCAACCCTTGGAATGGTGTGATCTGCACCACGCTCAGCCCTATATAGGATCCAAACCCGCAGCCTTGGCGCTACCAGCGCCACACTCTCCTGAGTGAGCCATGGGGCCGGCCCACAAGTGAATCTTTTCTGAACACCCTATTTTATGAAAACCTTCTCTCATAGCACTTATCACTTCAAAAAATTGTAAGTAATTTGATTATTTAATAGACTTATTAATAGAAAATGTATTTTTCCTCTAACTAGAATGTAAGATAAACGAAGATAGGAATTTTAATGTATTTGGTCAGCGATGAATTCCCAGGTCCTAAAACAGTGCCTGGAACATAATAGTCATTCATAAGTATTGGTTGAATGGAGGAATGTGCATATTTTAAAAGGCTGTAAAGAAATCAACCAAAATACTAACAGTACTTCACTCTGGATAGTGAGATTATAGGTAAATTCTACTTTCTATTATATATTTTTCTGGATTTTCCAAATATTCTACATTAAAAATATATTGCTTTTTAACCCAAAAACAAACAATCAAGCAAACAAAACCTTTACACTTTAATTACATATTAAGATCTTGCCGCTGAGACTGGAGAAATAGAAATGCTGCAGCATATAGTGTATTTAAAAGACTCAAGATTTTTTTTCCCAGTTATTGGTCACTGGTTAGCACTGTAATTTGGTAAAATCACCTAAAATGCCTCAATATTTTTTAAAGTAAAATAAACTTGTTGAATTACATCGTAGGGTCCCTTGAAACTTAAAATGTATGTATATATATGTATATTTATATTACTGTATTCTCTGACTACTGAGACAACTCCAATGTAAAACATACATTTTACCTTTTCTTCTCCATTCCTTAAAGTATCTTCCTATTTGAAATAAATATCATTTCATCAATTCTTTTTTATTTATACAGTACCTTTCCTTAAGAAAAATCCACAGATACTGCTCTCAATCATATAAACTCAAGTGGCGTGTTTATGTTCAAGGCGAATGGGCAAAGTTTCACTTGATAATATTCACAAAGATGTCATAACAGAGTTGAGACAGATCTCAGGGCCTATAAGTATATTAGCAAAATGAACCTTCATATTACCTCAACATTGTTCTTGATTCAGAGCTATAGAGAGTAAATATTAATGCCACAGTTTAAGTAGTTAAGTAATTTCTTAGAGAAAGAGTATGGAAACATCTGCACAGCCCATAAATATATGACAATAACATAATGGGGTGGGTAAGAGAGCTAGCTTTGGGCTCAGACTGTCTTACCAATGATGAGAGCTTGAGCAAATTACTTCACCTCTCTAAGCTTCAGTATCCTCATCTGTAAAATTAGGGTAATGATAGCACTAATTCACAAGGTTTTTATAAGAAATAATTAGTTGAAATGTTAAGTATAAGATGCTTAGCATATTGCCAGCCACAAAGTAAACATTTGGTTAAGGCCTGATATTATTATAACTATTATGATGTAGTCCTTAATGTCTGATTTTAAAGTTGGACACAAATTTCAAGAGCAATTAGTTGTATAGCATTTCAGATTGTCAGGTTAAAATTACATTTTGGGAATTTTAAACATTTAAAATGATCTAGTATTTTAAAATACACAATATTTTAAAATAGTATTTTAAAAGGTAAAACATTTTTAAATAGTAATTTTACAACTAGTATATTTTTATGTATTGATTGAAAAATTTAAAAACACTGTATCTATGTAAATATTGATACACTGTATGTAATTATATTATTCTAGGGCTACTTATGTCCAAATGAATTTATTGCTACTCAAGGTCCATTACCAGGAACAGTTGGAGATTTTTGGAGAATGGTGTGGGAAACCAGAGCAAAAACATTAGTAATGCTAACACAGTGTTTTGAAAAAGGGCGGGTGAGTTATTTTAAAATCTTTTCACAAAATGTTATTTACAATTGTGTTAATATATGTGTGAATATTTCAGCTAAAACTGTGAGACATCAATAACTTGGACATCTATAAAGCAGTTTTAACTTAGTAGCAATAACTGTGATATATATATATATATATATATCAATATAATAATGACTCTATGACTGGTGATTTTCTCTGAATGCAGATCAGATGCCATCAGTATTGGCCAGAGGACAACAAACCAGTTACTGTCTTTGGAGATATAGTGATTACAAAGCTAATGGAGGATGTTCAAATAGATTGGACCATCAGGGATCTAAAAATTGAGAGGGTAAGAAAAGGGGGTGAGAGAATACAATATAAAATATGAATGATCTAAATGTCTAAAGTAGAATTAACTTCTAGAATTATCTCTTTCAAGGACATCTATATACTCAACAATGCTTTTCTATTGTTTCCTAAAAAGAAATTTAAATTGATATCGGACTTTAGTATCTACCTATATGTCACTGTGTTTAATTCCATATCATAAGGTTACCAATTAGCCTCAAAATTTTAGGTTTCAAGAGCAGAAAAAGGAGGAAAAACAACTGGATCACGAGGTTTATTTTATTTAATGAAGAAAATGTAATGTTTGACATGAGACAGCAATTTTCCCAAATCACTTGCCTCTGAGTCTAAATAATTAAATTTTATATTTAATCTAGAACCAGTAGAGAAGACATAGTGCAGGATCCCACTTTATCAGTTCATATAAATTCCTATGCACACACGAAAATGATATAAGAATCTTTATACGGGCCGAGCAAATGGGTTCGGATCCTATATAGGGATGACCGGTGCGCTCACAGCACTTACTGGCTGAGTGCGGTGCGGCCGGTCTCAAAAAGGACAAAAAAAAAAAAAAGAATCTTTATACTTTCTGATATATCAGGTACTCAAAACCTGTTTTTTGAATAATTCGTGAATGTATTTAGTTAACTTTTGGGTCAAAATTGTTTCAAAATCTACTATTCTGAGTGCTACAAAATGTTACACTATATTTGAATATTAATACTCTATATTAAAATCTATTTGTAAGCGTTCTTATTGTTTTAATTTACACTGAAAGGCAGTTCTCTTTATTGTAAAAATAAAAGGGCTGTCTTATAGGAAATAATGAAAACAGTTTGTCCTGTTTGGTAGAGAGTTGTTTTTAAAAGATCACCTTCGGGCCGGCCCGGTGGCGCACTGGATAAGTGCGCTGCTTGGGAAGTGCGGCGGCGCTCCTGCCCGAGGGTTCGGATCCCACATACAGACCGGTTCCCACTCACTGGCTGAGCAAGGCGCGGGAGCAACACCGAGGGTTGCGATCCGTTGCCGGACACGGAAAAAGACAAAAGACAAAAAAAAAAAAAGATCACCTTCAAAAACTGGGGTATCAATTGTCTTCAACCTTCATAGTGGTACTTAAATAATTTTTATCATTTTTTAATCTGTCACTTTGTCTAGCATGGGGACTGCATGACTGTTCATCAGTGTAACTTTACTGCTTGGCCTGAGCATGGGGTTCCTGAAAACAGTGCCCCTCTAATTCACTTTGTAAAGTTGGTTCGAGCAAGCAGAGCGCATGATACCACACCTATGATTGTTCACTGCAGGTAAGAAAGAGATATGTTTAGAACCTTTTATTAAATTTTAGAAATGATCTTTAAGCCCATTGGCCTTTTATTATCAAGACACCATTGATTATTTTCTTGAAGAATGTTAATGTAGATTTACTCCAGCCTACAGTTCTCAGATATTTTGCTGGTTATGTTAAATCAAGATATAGCTTTATAAAAGTTTAAAAAAATAAACTTTTTTTTTAAAAAAAAAGAAATGAGGGCCGGCCGGTAGCGCACTCGGTAGAGTGCGGCGCTTGGGAGGGCGGCGGCACTCCCGCCGAGGGTTCGGATCCCATATAGAGACCGGTCCGCTCACTGGTTGAGTGCGGTGCGGGCGCGACACTGAGGGTTGCAATCCCGTTACCGGTCACGAAAAAAGACAAAAAGGAAAAAATTAAAAAAAGAAATGAAATGAATGATGAACCTGTGTAAAAGCAAGAGAAAATATATATACTAGTATAGAAATTTTCCCAAGTTATTGACTGGCTTATGCCTCTCAAAGGCTTTAAAAGTATTTAAAATATTTAAAAGTTATACCCCATCACTGATGTGTGTACGTGTGTTTGTGTAGGATTTTATTAATAAACATCTGATCCTTCATCATTTCAGTTCCTAATAGTCTAGTATCATAACTTAAACATTTTTTGTAAAAGAGAATTTTTAGATTTCTGAATTACAAAGAAAAAATCAGAGAAAATTAACTTTAATGTAAAGATTTAATTAAGTAACCAACCCAAGTACAGTTTCAGATTTTTACAAAACTTTAGCTACTCAAATGTCTTTGAACATGGTTAACAGGATGTAACTATAAATTGAGATTTTTCCCCCTTATTATTTTCATTGTTATTTAATATTCTGAGAAACAAAACTCAAGACTGTTTAACATTTAGAATTTTTCTAGACACATCGGCATGATATATGTTTTCTAACATGATATATCTAAATTAAATCAATCTCAACTTGAGTCTCTTTCACAATTGGAGTTTGGAGATTAGAGTGAAAGTGGATGATAATACAATGTAGTAAAATTCTGCTTACATGAGATACCTAGGATGGATAAATTCATAGAGACAGAAAGTAGAATTGTAGTTACCAAGGAAGGAGGAAATGGAGAGTTATTATTTATGGGTACAGAGCTTCTGTTTGGGATGATAAAGTTCAGAAAGTGATAACAAAACTGGTGATGTTTGCACAACATTGAGAATGTGCTTAATGCCACTGAATTGTACACTAATGGTAAATTTTGTGCTATTTTTCTTTTACCACAATAAAAAGATTATTTTTTAATTAACAAGATATTTTAATATTATTTTCTAACAGGAGTATACTATAATTAATGTGGTTAAATATGTAAGAAAAGATAAATTTACCCAATTTTTAAACTTTTATTTAGAGAAAAAACAGCATCAAATTTAAATGATTGTACATTTTTCATGAATATTCTTTATTTTTAAATTATAAGAGTAATACATATATGCTTGCTCATTATAAAATATCAGAACAATGTTTATATTTATAAGGCATATAGAACCAAAAAGACAAGCCTCATTCTTACCCTCCCAATTCCATATCTTTCTGTACACATAAAATTTTAACAGCATATTACATATATATATAAATAGTATAACAGTTTGCTCCTAAAGTCAGTGATTGATTTTACACTGCCATCAGTGATGATTAAAACTTTTAATAGACAGTAACTGCTTTTAGCTTCTCTGTATCTTGCATATATATTGCCACTGGCACTAAAAGCCATTAAAAAAGAAAAGCATTTTGTCATTTTTAAGCCTTAAAGAGTAGAGAGTCTCCTTCTTTGTGATTTAAATAAATAAAATAGATAAAAGTATGCTCATATTTAATGGTCATTTTTAAATATCATTTTTAAACTGTCTGCTAAGTATCTCCAAATCCAAGCTGTCACCTCAACTTCAGACTTCTACATTTAGCTTTCAGTTCAACATGACAACCTGAATGACAAAAAATTCTAAAAATTTGATGTGTCCAAAACAGAACACTTGATTCAGTCTCCAAGCTGAGATTGTCCCTATCTTGGTAAACAGCAATTCTCTTCTGCTTTGGTCAGAAACCTTGGAGTCATCCTTGACTCTCCTCTTCCTTTCACTTTTCACATTCAATCTACCAGCAAATCTCCTATCCCTGGCCACCTCTTACCTCTCCATTGTACTGTCCCCTCTCTGGTTTCCTTGCTCTTCTATAGAACATGCTGCCACTTAGATCTGTTCTCATTCTGCAACCTCAGCCTCTTAATGATCCTCTCCCAGAAACCCACATGGTGTGCTCCCTAACCTGATGCAAGTTTTTTTTTCAAATACTACATTATCAGAGAAGCTTTCTCTGATGACCCTATTCAACCCTATCACTCCCTATCTCCTTAACCTAGTTTATCTTTCTTTACAGCACTTGTCACCACCGAGCACATTCTTTGCCTGTTTGTTTGTATACCACTGTCCTCTAGAATATAAGCTCCATTCGTGCAGGGACTTTGTATTGTTCACTGCTATACCCCGGATTCCTGGAATAGTGTCTAGTACCCAAAATATATTGAATGATTTAATGACTCATTACTCTGTTAAGGCATATACATGTTACCATAATTGGTTTTATGTTGCTAATGCTCACAATTTTTTAGGTTGAATCATAGAAAATTGCCAATATTCAGTTGTCTCTTACCTATAAAAATGGCAGTTTCATGTTGCTCAAAGTAATATTCATAGATGACCTTCCAAAAAGTTTTTCTCAAATTCACTTCTTATGTTAAACAATATTAATTAGGGATCTTGTCTTTCTAATGGGAATTTCCGAATCCATCTTGTGAGGTTTATCAGTCAACAGTTTCTCTGGAGCACATGCCCATCCTTGGGTTTTAAACTGATTTCTTAAAAGGAAATAGTTTGTCAATTTTACTATATACAGGAGGTAAAAACGTTCTACACAAAAAAAGCAAAAGGGACACTTGGGAAGCTTCTAGTATTATGCACAGGAAATGTGATAGGGGCTAAATATTAGACATTTTTAATATTCAACATTTCTATTGGTAACTGAAAATATGGTTAATACAAAGTTTCTGGTGTTAAGAATTTTCAATGATTTTTAAAAATCTTCTTTATACTTCTCCAATACTCTCTAAAATATCATAAAAGAAAAGGGTAAGTTCAGCAAGTTAAAAAAAGAGAAAAACTCAAATATTTCATAGAGCACTAATGATAATCATCTTGCCCTAACAGTCTTGGTAACAATAAAAATCTAAAGAAACTCCAAAGAAAATCTACATCCAAATAAGAAAAGAAATTGTTTAGAATTTATTGCTATCATAGCTCATTATCCTCATCACCATCAAAATAAACAAAACGTTGCTGAATATTTTTCACATAATTTCACTCTTTCTATAGTGCTGGAGTTGGAAGAACTGGAGTTTTTATTGCTCTGGATCACTTAACACAACATATAAATGACCATGATTTTGTGGATATATATGGACTGGTGGCTGAACTGAGAAGTGAAAGAATGTGCATGGTGCAGAACCTGGTAAGATATCTAAACCTGTGCTCACTTGGGAGCAGCTGTAGAATTTTTACAACAGAGAATCCTAGTGGCAGCAATCTGGTTAGACATGGGCTTGAAGCTGTATTTACATTGCAGACACTCTCTTTTCCCTGCATCATAAAACTCTTGGGGAGGTCTTGGGGAGGGCAACTGATGGAGATTATGAAAGAACTAAAGACCCAAAGACAATGTGCCACAGTCCCCCTTCAAGTCTGTTACTGACTGCTCATCCTAACTTGTTTATATTGATAGGTGTGTAGAAGATACTCCATAAAATTGATTTTTCTTCATCATTTAGCAACTTTGGGGAGCTTACAATATAAATTCAAATCCATTTCTTTTGTAGATATGCTAGAAATTATCAACTGAGAAAACAATTTAAAATATTGACTGTAATGAGGTTCTGTGGATCTCACTTGTCCATATTTATCCCTATTGACTATTAGTATTAATAATGATTATTGCATCATGTTATCAACTAACACTGGGATTTTTTTGTTTGTTGTTTTGGTTTGGAGGCAAAAATATTTATAAAATATTTTTCTTCATTCAAAAAATCACACGGTATAGTGGTAATGGGACTAAAAACCCTCTATTTCCTATTTCCCTCTCTCCCCTCCCCCCATCAACATCATATCTGTTCATTTGTCTTAACAAGTTCAAGGAATTGTTGTGATCATTGTGTCTTCTTCCCTCACCCTCCTATTTGTTTGTTTGTATATTTATTTACTTATTTTTAGCTTCCACAAATAAGTGAGAACATGTGGTATTTCTCTTTCTGTGCCTGGTTTATTTCACTTAGGAAAGTGGGAAAGAGGAATTGGGAAAGCAACACGAAAATCAACTACATTGTATATTGATATATTAAAATAAAAAAATAAAAATAAAAACCCTCTATTGGCTGTCTAATGGGTTCCAAGTACAACACAAGATCCAAGTACAATTCATCCTTATTTATTTAAAAGCAGAGCCAATAAAACTAATCATGAGACTAGGTGTTATTGGTTCTCCTTTACGGATAGTGAAGCAGATGTTCCAAGAAGTTAAGTGATATTCCAAGGTGGTATTATAATAAGTATAAGAGCCAAAATCCAAACACTAGTCTCTCTAACTATAATATACAAGATGTTCCTATCTGTATGTTTGGATTGAAATTTGTATGCTATATAGAGACTTTTCTTACAGTAAATACACAGATCTGCCATAACAGTATTTTTCAGGGTACATCCTAGAAAACACAAATCAAAGTTGTTAAAAGTGTGAGAAAATGAGGTTCTTTGCTAAAATAAGTGTGAGAAAAAATCAAACTGATTTTTTTTTCCTTTTTTTTGTCTTTTTTCGTGTCTGGCAACGGACCGCAACCCTCAGTGCTGCGCCCGCCCCTCGCTCAGCCAGTGAGCGGGAACCGGTCTGTATGTGGGATCCGAACCCTCAGCGGGAGCGGCGCCGCGCTCCCAAGCGGCGCACTGTAGCAGTGCGCCACCGGGCTGGCCCCCAAACTGATTTTTAAACACAGAATTTCTTAGAACTTTTACAAGTATGCTAATGTGCATGGGCAGTTAAAAATGCAGAACCCTTGTAGGTGACATTTCCCAAACTTATATGATGGTGGAACAACCCATCAACTCTTTTTGACTTCAAACTTATGATACATGTCATGGAACATTAATGCTCTAGGAAGATGCTGCTCTAGACCAGAGACATCTAAATTTTGGGGGCTGCATATCCCTTTCAGGAAAAATGTTTGAGTATTCGACTCCAATACAGATATATTTATTTTTTAAATGTAGATTGTATAATTAGGTAAATTATGAAGCACAAACAAAATAAGAAATTGAAAAACATGAGATAAAGATCACATACGTAATATTTTCAAAACTGTGCTAATTGCTGTGGCTTTATATTATCACTAGATATTTTCAAAAGAGACAAGATACTTCTATTTTCATAGTGGTTTTAAATACATATTTTAAATTATTTATAATTTTAAAAAAGTGATCTACCTTTCTGTCAGATCTGATTACATTGTTTTATTTTTAATCTCATAATATGGCTGCAAGATTATTCTAGGAATAAGAAGAATGTCATCTCTGCCAATTTCTTGTCATTCTTTTGGGCTTGCATGAAGATTTATTTATTGAATAATAATATTTATTGGACATAAATATTATCTTCAATTCAAAGTCTCTTTGTAGGAATCTTTTTCAGCCATGTCAATTGTGTGATGATTAATGAGGTAAAACTAGGTAATGTAATCAATGGGTCCTGAAAATTATCCAGGGGTCTTATGAGGGCTCCAATATCAACCCAACTATTTACCATTATTAAAATTCAATTTTCTTCTTATTTTTAGTTAAAAATAAGGATAAATAGAAAGCTAACATTTTTCTCCCATGCCCCTAGGTGTACACATGTACACTAGGGATCAGTATTCTTGACAAAATTGATAGTCAGCTTTCTTGGCTAGGATAGAGGGTGGGACTGATTGTTTCCTTCTAGAGTCAATCTTCATATAATAAAAGTTGAAAAATAATTGCCATACTCTGCAGTCTTGTGGAATTGAACTTTATATAAATAGTGTGTTCTAGAATGCCTATTAATAATTTTACCCAATTTAGTACTCAATATATGTCATAAACAATATGCTTGTTTAACCAGCCAGAACAAAATATTGCAGGTTGGGTAGGGGAACGGAAAGACCAAGGTTTTTGAAGTCAGAGAACTCAGTTCAGAATCCAGCTCTGCTGATTGTTGGCTCTGTTACTTTATTTAATTAACTTCCCAGAGCTATTTCTCTTTTGTAAAATAGCCCTGTTACACTTTTCTAAGTTGTAAGTGTTAAATAAGAGAAGGTATCTAAAGCACCCAGCATAGTGCCCAGCATGCAATAAGTGTCCAGTAAGATTTTGCTGGTTTCCCTCCTTGCTGAAAATCAGGCCCTCCAAAGCTCTCTTTGTCTGTTTTAATTCCCAGAGTGATGTTCCTTACTGTCTTTTCCTTGTGATGAAAAATAGGAGAATAACCACACTGGCCTCAGTCCTTAACCAGCATTGCCTTGCACAAGAGTGGTTTCATATTTTCGTCTATTGCACTGGGCAGTGATTTCAGTTTCTACATATCAGCACATACTACAGCAGCCAAGGGCAGGGGTGAGGAGGTGGGAGACTCAATAATATACTGCCACTAAAAGGCACCAGAGTGGCATGACCTGTACCCAGGAGAGAGTTTTGATTTCCTTCACTCAAAAAACAGTTCATTGCAGCCCCAGAATATTTGAAAGTCCTTTCTGAGAGAATGCTCTGCACTGAGCCTCAAATAAGGGTTAATCTGGATTAATCCCTTTCCTGCTCTGGATTCTCCTGGAAATTTACTGGTGTGAACTCCTATGGTAGAAGAAAAAAGTAACTAACATATTTTGAGTGCCTAGTTTTTTGCCAGGCATTTTACACATATAAGTCCCTTAAATCTCCCAATACAGATTTTATGATCTCCCAGATGAAGAAATTGAACATCAAAAAAGTTTAGTTCTTAAGGTAATATGGCTATCTAGTGTAGAAACTGGGATTGAATTCTTTTCCCAGCAATACACTGCCTCCTTGGCCGTAACACATGGTGGTAGAGGGATTGTGGGACCTGTGGGACTGTCTCCTGGAGCTCAGCCTGCCCTGCTGGCAGAGTTCACACCCATCATTCTTTCCAGTGGAGAAGATGAGATCAGGACAGTCAGAAGCTTCACATATCAAATGTAACTTGAAATTCAAAGGTGTTTTTTTAAAAATACCAGAACAGATACATTTAAATGATATTTTGAAAATTGTAAATGTGTCAACATATTTC